CAGTCCAGTTGCATATTTGCAATTTATTTAAACACTGATTCTAAAAGACATCACCAAACCATCATCTCTCCAACAGAAATAGAATTAAAAACTCAAGCTTTAATTAAGTTTAACTTACCAGACCAAGCCCAAAGTTCATGATGTAATGAAGAAGATAAAGCTTTTGTCGCTCACTGATTCCATGAGGAATTTCTGCTTTGGGGTGTTCATAATAGAAAGAAATTGCCACAATAGCAGTCAACACAGTGAGAAAAATGGCCAGGAGAAGTTCCATCTTGCTGTGTTGGTAGGAGCCTGAGAAGGAACCAGCTGTGGCCTCCTCCTCCTTTCTCAGATTTTCAGATTTCTGACAGTAGAGGCACAGGATTAGCTGGTCTCGTCATGGCTCATAATCCATCTTTTAAAAATGCCAATAGGAAGATGAAAACATGTGGTAACTCAACCATACAATTAGACAGTAACAATTCGTTGTGGGAGAGCCTTGCATAAGTGGTTTTCACATTTGCTGAAACAAGGCTGTGCCCATCACAGCAGAACTTGATTGATCGATCATTGCACTGGCAGTTTGCAGGAAGACAAAAACTTGTTCTGTATCTCTGGTTTTTGATTACAGGCAAGTTTTGATTATTTGTGAGTTTCTGAGCAGCATTTCTTGGTAATCATCTTCCAAGCTCAGATTCGTGCTTAGTTGTGCCTCCATGCCTTACTTTTTCAGACTTTTATTGAAATCAAGGCTCAGTGTCACAGACATGTTTCATCACCTGTGATGGCAGATTTTGGATGCTGCTGCCATTGCACTTTTGAGTCCAGTGGAGCCAGAGGCAGCTGCAGCCTGGTCTGAGAGCTGTTCTTGCCACATCCTCCTCAATGGTTCTTCTCCTGCAGCAGCAGATTTTTTGTTTGTTTTGTTATTTGCCTCTTGGCAGTGCTGCAGTCTCTGTGTTTCAGGAAGATACTATGTACAGATGTCATTCCAGGTAGAAATGTGACTCCAACTGATGAAAACTAGACTTGAACTTCACAGTGTCAGTGCTAGTAGCCCAGTCCAGTGACTGATGTCCAGTCCAGTGACTGACTGGACATCAGCAGCCCATTCTTTTCTGTTGTGAGCTGTAGGATCTTCCTCTGGAGCTAACATATTTTTTCCATATGCAAAAAATTACTGATAAGATTTAATCTGAAGCAAAAAATATCTGTAAAGCACAGCTCATGTGATGTCACCTTTGGGTGACATAGGCATAGCAGTCTGCTTAGCCTATGAAGGCAGCAGATTCTCATTCTGAAAAATCACAGTATGGGTAAAATAAGTGTGTAAATTCTCTCCTTAAATACTACTACAATAATATAAGGGATGAGCTGACCTTGAATTGTAGAATAAAATGAAACTAAAGACAGAGAACCCCAGGGCTTTGGCATGCATAGTCCACGACCTGCAAAGGAAATGGCTCAGGCTTGATACCTGACTTCAGAAACTATTTAGAATAAGAAGGATGGGGCTTCACTTTTGAGTCTGGTGTTACACTTTCTGAGAATGAGCTGATTCCGTGTTCTGTTCTCTCTGTTGCTTCCAAACTGTTTCTTCATTTTATCCAGCAACTCTCTGGATTTCCATTTCCCAATGTCCCCATGCCTCTCCCTCCCAGAAAGTTATTAATATGCTAAGTATAAAATCAGATTCCTTTTTGTTTATCCTTCTCGATAAAGGTGTTTGATGTCCATCTCGATAAGGAATTTAGGTGAAAGGCACATTGCCTGGCAATTGGGACACTCTTGAGAAATGGCAGTGCACAGTGGGCTCACCTTTCTTACAACTCAGGCAAGAGCATTGGGAAATATTGTTGCACAAAACAATTGCAGCTCCCTTCTTCAGCATTTCATAGTCAAAGGAATTAATTGGCCTATGCTAAACTCTGCTGTCCCAGTGGGTGAGGTGTGGTCTAAGTACACCTACCAGATTTGGCCCTTCTGGGGATCTAAGAGCTCTTGACACCTGTCACTGGTGTCTGTACTGCAGTTCTTCCCACCCATGGTTCTTCTGTGATCTAAATCTTGTTGGTTCCAATTGACCCACAGCTGGTACATCTTGGACTCATTTGGGCACATTGACAAGGTCTGGACTTCACAGCACCCACAGGGGCTCCACACAAAGACTGGATATGCTGGAAGCTGTCAAAGAAATAAACTAGTTGGTTTCTGAAATAATAATGTGCTTTTTCCCTTTGGGCATTCCTGGTACAGAGTAGTACTTAATGCTGTGTAAGCTTAGTCTCAGCAATTCACAAGCTTGAGGCCCAGGATGGAGAAAACCATTCCCTACATAATCTGTCAAATAAATGTTCTCTCTAGCTTCTGATAATTTTTGACCTTGTCTCTGCTGCTGTGAGATAAAGCAGGGGATAGACCAGGCCAAAGCCCTATTTTCTCCTACACCAGGGACGACACCCTTTCTTACTAATTTCCAGTGAAAAGCTTAATGTCCAGGCCTGAAATCTTGTCATTCCTTGCTCTTTTTCTGTGACATGGGTGCACATGCAAGGAGAAAGACTGAGCCAGGTGTAGCAGATGTAAAATATTCCCTGCCACTTGATCATGGTGCTTGATTAGCTAGCAACAGAACTCACTGTAAATGGGAGCCTGTACTGGGATACTGGGAAACATTCCAGAGAAAGTGCTGTGTGACCCAAGAAGCTCCTTTTGGGCTCTGCAGAGCATGAGAACCATGTGGTGCTGGAAGCCTGAACTGAATGGGAGCTGGGCTTGCCAGTCCTCACTCTCTGGCTGCATAATTCCTTGAGGAATGACTTTGGAGTCCAAAATTCTGTAGGTGGCATTGTACTTGATTTTTTTTTTTTTAATTTGTATGTGAAAATATCATGCTTTTGGGACATTTACAACAATTTGGAGGGAGGAGGTTTACATTTTCCATTTCAGGGTAGGCTCCTGCCTTCCTTAGCACACACCTGTCTTTCCAAACCAAGACAGGGGACTATAAGAATGTCTTCAAACATTCTATCTTCGCAATGCAAGACACATGGCTGATCTGTAATTAATGAAATCAATTAAAATAAAGTACAGGAAGTTCCATAGAGACAGTTAGATCATTTGATTTCTTAAGGTTTAGAAAATCTGGGAATCATGATTAAACAAAGAATACATTAATTCAGCATTTGCTGTTCTCTGCTTACCCATCTGCACTCAATGGTTATAGCCCATAATTAAAGAGAACTGCATGATCAAGAGAACTAATAATGCTGCTGACATATTATAAAGCTGAATTTCTTATTATTTGTAGTAAATTAAAGACCAATGGATAAAGGACCATGGAAAAATCTCAGGAGCAGATCAGTGTCAATGTTTGGACATAGACCCATAAATGAGTCATAATTCCAGAGACTGATAAAGGAGAGAAAAGTATTGAGTAGCTGAACTGGCAAGGAGTATAATGCTGCACTGAACTGTGTGTAAAATAGCATAAGATTGTCTGTGACCATCTCATAACTTACAAAATACAAGGTGGAACTGTACAGACCTCCTTAATTCTGGCACTTGCCAACCTTCTCCAGCTTCTCCAATGTCATTAAACTTCTTGCAACGCTTTTATAGCAGATACAGACTGTTGGCCCAGCTTCAGCTACTAATGTGTGAGCTGGTAACCCAACCTTTGTCTTCGTAACCAAAGCAGATCCTGAATCCTCAAAGAGTGGAACATTTGGAACTATCACATTATTTACCCCTGGAAGCATTTCTTTGTTTGAAGAGCAAATTGCCTGCAACAGGAAAAATGAAACAAATAAACTTTCTGTTGTGTCAAGGGTGCATGAAGAAATGTAAACTCATTTTGCTGAGAGGGACTGGAGAATGAGAACCTTTGAGTAGTGACTTGTTGCTGCAGAGATGTAACCCAACTCACCTGTCACCAGCATTCATTAACATGGTGACAACACAGAACATTAAGTTCAATGAATGGGCCAATGAACTGTCTTCTTCCTACTCACAGTTTGCCTGGCAGGGAGGAGACATGTACGAACTCTTTCCACAGTCATGTGTGTATGGATTTTATAAAGCCAAGGTAGTTGCACAACAATTAAACATTTTACAATTCCTAGGCATTGTATGCCCAGCTATTTTGCAATGCAATGGCAATTATTTTTTGCATCTGTGTTTAGCAAGGGTGGATTTCTCCTAATAAGCAATATAACAATTACAGCAAGATAACAATTGACCTCAGATTTTTCTTTGGCTTTGGATGTCCACAGAAATTATTTGGCAGGTTCCATGCTATTTACATCCTTTTCCCCCAAAAGCCAGGTAAGCTGAATACAATTAAATGCTGCTCTGAAAGGAACTTTATAGAATATAATTTAGAGGATATTCAGTTATTTTTGAGCAGTTCTCCCTCACTTAATTTCTGTTGCAGTCTCAGGTACCCATCTCATGCACTGTGTGAACTGTACCAACCTGCCTGCTTCCCATTTCCCTTTAAAGTCAGGTTTGTAAGTATGCCCAATTAATTCCTTCAGATTTTAAGCACAAATGCAACATAAATGCATATTTTAAACATAAATGTCTGTACAGACACTCTGATGGTGATTAATACTCATCCCTGAAGTAGGGAAGGGATCTCCACTCTCCAGAGGTATTGCCATGCTGATTTTGGGGGCACTAGGTGTGCATGCATGTGCACATGGCTAATTACTCACACACTGCATGGGATTTTAACTTACACATTTAGAGTGGTTTTTGTTACAATGAGTTTTTATTCTTTGACATATGAAGAGAACAAAAATTCTTACAATGCAAGAAGAGAGCCTCAAAGCAAACTTACAAAAAAACTCTAAACATCACATTTCTAAGCAATAGCAAGTAAAAATCAGAATTCAGCAGACCATGCTAATGTCATAAGTTCTTGCCTTGATTCTAATGGGCAAATAGCTGGTAAATACAATTTAATTGAATCACACTCTCTCTAAATACCAGTTCACTGTATGCAAGAAAATGATTTAATAGCCTTTTATAAAGTCTACAGCATGGTTCATCACAGTACTTGATGATGGGAAAGAGAACAAACCATATCCAAAAAAGCCCAGTGCACCGTGAAAGCCTTTTTCCACGTGGTGCCAGGTCACGCGTACGTTGTTGTCCTCTAAGCGCTTCTTGTACAACAGCCCTTCATCCCTGAGCACATCGTGCTCACAGGTGACAATACAGGTGTCAGGGACACCACAAATAACAGCATCCTCTGCCAGCAGCGGGGAGACCCGGGGTTCAAACAGTTCTTGCACTTCTTCGTGGACTTGAGGTAAAAACAAAGTGGGGAGTGGTGGTTTATAGCCCAGTTTAAACTCATCTGGAATGAAATCTGGACTTATCCATTTCCTATATTTCAAATTTATACTCTCAGGAACATGAGAACCAGCCAGAATCGGTTCCTTCAGGGAGCAGTCCTTGTTGAGGTATTTGAGAATGAAATGGACCGTGCGCTCCCGGGACAGGAAGGCAACGGCAGCATTTTTCTGGTGAGATGGCAGATTGAAGTTCAGTGCTTGCAGATAGGGATAGATCAGCACCTGGGCCCGAATCTTTGGGATATCTGTCCTGTGCCCCAGATCTTGGCAAACACAGGCAGCAAACGTGCCCCCTGCACTGTCCCCACAAACAACAATCCGAGCGGGGTCCACCCCGTGGCTCTCTGCAGTCTTCAGGAAGTGCACGGTCGCAGTGAGACACTCCAGAACCTGGGCTGGATACTTGTGCTCAGGTGCTAAATGATACCTGAGAGGTAAAAAAGCAGCTGGTGTTACACACTGGGAGTGTCTCATCTGAGATACATCCCGTGCAAAAACTGCCCCAAACCAATATTAATTACAGCATTCATTATATCTAGTTTAAAGTTTTTATATGCTGAAGAAAACCAGAAAAACTTTTCCTCCCTTCTCAAAACCAACTCCTCCCAATTTAATAAAATCCTTTAATAGTAAACTTTTTAAGGGAAAAATTTGTTGGAAATTAAGGTTTTTTTATGCCATCATGTATTTTCCATAATCAAAACATCTTTGTAGGAAACAGTGGTCCATGCTGGTTTTAAAAAATACTAAATTTTAGTCTCATTACTTACTCCTTAAAATCATCCCAGATTATTTTAAATAAAAATATTAAATATTAACATATTTAATATATTTAAATATATTCTATATATATTAAAATATTAAAATCTTATATTTGGCTTATAATTTCTTATAATCAAGCAAAGGTAATGATTTCTGTGGTGATAGTGAGGTACAAGGACCAAACCTGTAACTCTGACCTTGGCTCAGGTATTTCCATTGCCATTCCAGGGCATGCACTTGCTCCCCACATAACAGCAGTGTGGGGAAGACAGCACTAGAGCTCAGTTTCTTTTCAAAGAAATGTGAGTTCAGGGGTGTGTGGGAGGCAGGGGCAAAGCAGCAGAGTTCTCTAATTCTGGGATTAGTGCTGGTTGAATTTCACTTACCCAACAGACACGACCACTGAATCAGATTTTCTGGCTATGTACCGGCATATTCTTTCATAACTTCCTGAAGAACAAAAGTTGTTGATGTAATTAACAGCTTAGAAAACTTCAGTCAATATTGTCACTTATATTTTTATGACGTATTACCACAATATCTTGTCAGCCCCTTGCCTATTTAGTAGTACCCAGATTTTCTTTAGGGTAAAAATAATCTAGACTTTTGCTGATCAGGACTTGCTGTATAATTCATACATTTAGACAGATCACTGATCTGGGTGGAAAATAAGGAATTGTTATGATTTTTACTATTAGGAAATGGGCAGTGGTTTTAAACTGAGAGAGGATAGAATTTGTTTCCGTGTAAGGAACACATTTTTATTATAAGGGTGGTAAGGCCCTGGCACAGACTGCCTGGAGAAGCTGTGGCTGTCCCACCCCTGAAAGTGTCCAAGGCCAGGACTGACAGAGCTTGGAGCAACCTGGGATAGTGAAAGATGTCCCTGCCCGTGGCAGGAGGTGAAAGAAGATTGTATTTAAGGTCACTTCCACCCAAACCATTTTGTGATCCCAATGGTGCTATGATAAAGAGTGCTACATTCCATTTAAAAAAATAATGTAAATACTAAATAAGTGCAGATTAGAGAGTTTAAAAAATGCTTTAAGTGCTTTCTATCTCCAGTCTCGCAAACTAAGCTTCAGTCACTTCTTAGGGTCAGGAGATTTTAAAAACAGGCAGTTAAAAAAGCTAAATTGTCACATTTTCTCTTTCAGGTCCTTACTGATGCTTCCGAAAATGCCGCATCCTCCATGGATGAAGACAACTCCTCTCCGTTTGCTGGCAGATGGTTCCCTTGGGAGGTAAATCCTTATGGGTACCCCATCAAAATGAAGATCCTTAATGAAGAGCTGGGAATCCCAGCATGCTGGGAGTCCATCTGTGATCAGCCTGATAAGTGTGTGCTCCTTGATGATACCCAAGTGGTTTAAATTCTCTGCCTAGACAGATAAAAGAGGAAAAAATGAGAAATCACTATAGGGAATACAAGTATTCCCACTTTGTAAAGGCCACAAGCTACTTTTTCCTACACTGTCTTTAGCATAATTGGGTTGGTTAGTCTTTAGGATTCCCACAAATAACTGTCTTTGGGGTTTTGGTTAAAGAAAATGAAGATTTACATCTTCCTTATTGTGGGAAGAATGTTGTAATACTTGTTCCATTAAGTGTGTTATATAAATACCTTCTAGTTCCTGTGATCTGGATTTACCACAAGTAAGAACAGGCATTTGCTCAGGTGTGGAAGCTGGGAGGCCTGAGGCTCCTTTCCTAATGACTGAACAGAAAGAGGCATTTCTTGGGGATGGTTCCAGTTCTGGATGTGTTAAATCATGCTCTGGAGGTGTCTGTTCCTCTCCATGATAAACTGTACTTCAGATGCCTCAATTAAAATATTTAAGGTTAGGTGAGATGAAAATGTCACTCTCATGACAGTATTATTATACCGGGGGAATAAAGCACAGGATTATCATACTGGGGGGAAAAAAGCACAGGCCAGTCTGGGGGCAAGACTGGATGACTTAACGGGGTTGGGTCATCTCCCTGCCATGGGGTCAGTGAGAACAAGCTGTAAGACAACCATTGTGTCTATGATCATTGCTGAGGGGCTGCTGGCCCAAGTGAGGAACTAATGAAAATGGTTCTGAACCTCATTTCCTCCTACATTAGTGAAACCATTGCCTTTTCAAGATCTCATCAGCCATTCATAAATGAGCCTGCGGTCAATTCTTACACCTAATCAGCAAAAAACCAAATATTCTGAAGACAAGGAAGGTTTGTTAAATAGCCTCATCCAAGGCCAGTCAACTGCTGATAATTCAGACAGTGTAAAGATCACACTGAAATCCTCCTTTGAACACATTTTGTAATGGATGTATTTCCTGTTAGAACAACATTTCCCTTCCTATTGCATAGTGATTTAAATGCCCTTGTGGACTACTGCAATTCATTCTTCTGTAATGATGACAGTCATCACAAGCCATTTGCAAATTGTATTGTTGTTCTTTTCTAAGCCACAGAAGTCTCTGTATCAATTCCTTACAAGCTGAAGACACGCTTGTGTAAATTGTATTTTTCAACCTGTGTATCAGAGATTCTTTCTTCCTTATAATCTAAACCAGTTTGCAATAAACAAATTGGGTGAGGAGTAATAAAAGAAATCACCATGAGGCATGGAAGAGGGAGAAAATCAGTCAGAAACAAAGATGGGAATCCAGAGATTATCTGGAGTCTTTTCATAACACTCTGCCACCAATGCCAGGAGTGCTTAGGGTAGTTTAAGAGACAAATGGATGGCCACAGTTCTTGCCTTGCATTTGAAAAAGCACATTTTAAAGTATCACGGCAAAGGGGAAAGCTACTTTAAGACCCAGTGCACTGGTGGCAGAAACCACAGGGTGAATCTAATCTTCTCCAAACAGCAATTTTCAAAACTCTCATGACTCTTAAGTCAGTCCTTCTGTCAGAGTTATGGTTTTGGAATGTGTGAAGTTGGCAGAATTGCCATTTAATCTCATTTGAATTTTCTAACATCCTTGAGGTTTTTTAGGGCTTTCAAATGACAGTAATATATATGATAAACTTGTTATCAGAGCATCCTATCTAAATATCCTCTTTCCTTGCCTTGTCTTAGGAGTTCCTGACATCACAGAGGCATCTCCAAATTCAGGGGAAACGCTGTCAGGAAGAAGAGGGAATTTGGTATGTACTCTGTCAAGAAACTTAATCAATAATTAGGAAATACTTCAGAACCTATAGCAATACATTAAAAACCTAAAAGGTTTGACTATTTCTACACAGATGTGATCAGTGTTAGTGGTGAAATTTATTACATAAACCAGGTCCTAAAATGCTAATATGTGTATGAAAAAGAGTATGTCAGCTTTTCTTGTGAAACAGTCTTTGAAAAACTATTTGCTTGAATACCTAAATTCTGACACAAACTGGGTTTTATGTGGAAGGTCATATGGGGACCAGATTTTTACTTTAAAATAATTACAAAATCACATACCAAAAGCAGCAAGACCCACTCAATTTGAGCTTCGTGGACTTTAGGACTACATCAGAGAGTCTTTCTGTCAGTCACTCTGAAGTGTGCTTTTCCAACCACAATAATTATCGTCAAAGCTTCCTCACACAGTGCAATATGCACAGTTAGTCTGAACATAGATCAGTCTGAGTAGTTTAAAACAAAAGCCAGGAGGCTTCCTCTCATCTCTTCCATTTCACATGATCTCTTCATGACAGGGGACAGATGCAGCAGGAGCATCATTTATGTACCTTCTGCTTGAAGGTACACACATATCTGGTGTTGCAGCTTTTCTAAGACATTGCAGGTAGGGTGGAAGAAGAAAGCAAAAGCCTGTCTTGTATTGTGGAAAAAGAGGTTTTTACAGGAGCATACATCACTGGCATAGTAGTGGCACAGCTCTGTGGCACAGGAAGAGCAGCATTCATCAGGATGAACAGGATAAGTTAATTGCACACGTCATACACAAAGCATTTTAAAATACACGTACGCAAAATATATTTAAAATATTTAAAATAACAGACACAAAGCACTTAAAAATAAACCTGTGAAGTCATTACTGTGAGGGCTGCTCCTCTGAGCAAAAACATAAACCAGGAATGCACCCAAAGTACCAGTCGATGCCTAAAGGCTTTTGAGAGAAAAATAGGTGAGTAGGTTGATTCAGTGCATAGCAAGTGGTGAAATGCATCTTAAAAGCTATTCAGAAAAAGGATCCTGAAGTTTAGGGAATGTATTATTAATGAAGAGAACATATGCACTTATTCCTTAACAGACACTTAAAAGCTGTATAAATGGGTTAAAAGTATCACCTGAAAGAATCTTTTCACCCACCAAAAGAATCTTTTCACCCACCAAGCAGCAAAATTAGAGAATTTAATAGCATTGTCCTATTATAATATTACTGTCATATTATTATATTAAGTTTATATATAACATAACACAAAGAGCAGTATGAAATATGCAAGGACAGCATTCTGTCATGGTAGCCAAGGCAGAAAAGTATCACTGGAGAATCAGGGACAACCCCTAGATTTGGTGAATATTGCTGTGTAAGTTCAAACAACCCACTTAAGTCTTTTAATATATTGTAATGGCCCAAATCAGCTCTCAGGATGTGGGGCCAAGTTCCTGTGCTCTTTCTGTATAACTGGGGATTAGAGAATTGAGGTGAGCTTCATACAAACATCAAAGAAACCACTCCAATTTTCCTGCAGGCTTTCTTTTGACATGTTACGTGCCAGACATGACAGGGCTTAGGCTGCTCCTACATACTCCTGTTGCCTACTTTGAAAGCTTTTTGGGTGAAAGCTGTTTCATTCTGTGATGGCAAAGCCCACAGCACAGTGAGTCTGGCTTCCAGGTACTTAGATAATAGGTGACAACAGGCCTAAACCTGCTTTGGCAGGAGGTTCAATTAGATGACTTCTGGAGGTGTCTTCCAATCTACCTGATTCTATGGTATTTAACTAGTGTTCTGTAATTCAGTCACTGCAGAATAAGAACAGAAACAAGGGTAAGAAAATTACTGCAAATAGCTCAGAATTTAGGAAACTGCCTTACATATATCAGAGTGCACTTAGACATAGCAATTCAGGTTATTATTATCCATGTAAATTATGAACAGCCCTCCTGTCATCCACAGAACCAGTCATTTCATTATGGAAATACACAATTGCAGCATAAGAATGGATATCTCAGTATTGAAAGAACTCACCTCATCCTGGCTGCTTTATGTATGATAACAGAAACCAAATCAACCTTTGGCCTTTAAATCTGTGTTACTGTGTGCTTCCCATTACATATAGTTGTAGTATTTGTAGATGCATGTCTTCATACTTAGGTCTTTCCTTTTCTGAAAATCCCAGTATCCCAGAGCGTGAAACTCACCAGAATTTCCATCAGAGTGTACATACAGTGATAAAGGCGAAGCTTTGCTGGCTGGTCAATATCAGAAGGAATCTCTCCCTTGAAGAAATTATTATTAGTTGCAATTAAAACCAGCAATACAAAAGCAACTAAAATTCCTGCTATTAAAACCAGAATATAATAGGATTCCATTGTTCTTTGGTGGGAATAATTAGACACTGTTTGATATGATTCTGTCAGTATTTATATCCTCCAGACTGATTCCACAGAGACGTCATCTGCATATCATTTGCATACAGATTCCCCCTGCCCTTCTCCTGTAGGCAGGGCTGGCAGGTGCTGGAAGCCTGCAAACATCCGGCTGTGACAACTGCACTTGGTATGGTTCAAGCTCATGCATAGCACAGTCACTTCCAGGAAACACCTTTCTTTTGTATATTACAGAATTGCAAATGGGTTTCTTTTTTATCTGCTTTATGGGCCTGGAAAGTTCTCTGGGATGTTTTGCAAGTGTACCATTGAGTGTCTCAGAGCCTAAAGAAGAGTGGCTGCTCTGGACTGCAGTCTCCATGGTCAGGAATTGTAGTGGTTTTGCTCTTGGAATAGGTCTGAAGGATGATTCCAAGGCTTTTTGCTTAGTGCTGATCTTTTCCCCAGCTCACTTGCTGAGGCAGACAGCTGGCCAGAACAGTTAGAACAGGCATTCTGAACTCAGCCTCGAGGAATTTTGCTTTTGGAGATCCACAGACCTCTCAGTTATTTGCCAGCCTGAGTGAGCAGCAAGGGGCTCTGGGGTCACCAATGGTGCTGTGCTAGCACAGGGAAACTTCTCCTTGACTTGGAGAATTTTGGCCCTAACCCTCTGTGCTGATTCTTTCTAAAGAAAAGATGTTGATATCTTTACAACTCCCTATTTTGCTGTGTTTTCCAAGATGATTCTGTGTTATCCATGATTGTAATTCAGGTGTGATCAGAGCATATAATATCCAAAAGATTGCACCAAATGAGGTGATGACAGTTCAGGAATGAGTCACCAAGTTTAAC